CTTAGAGTTTTAATATTTATTTACATAGAAGTCATGTGATGGTGCTTTAGTTCTTAGGTCTTTTTTCAAAATAATCAATAGTGCTCATAATATTTTTAATAAAATGCTTTTTTAGATTGAAACTTTGTTTTTAGAGTTTTTATATTTATTTATATATATGACGGTGTTTTGTTGCTTAAGCCTTTTTTCAAAAAAACCAATAGTGCTCATAATACTTTTCATGAAATTTTTTTTCAGATTAAAACAAAGGAAAGTAAAATAAAATAACTTATCAAACATCTAAACTTTGATATTTAGCTCAAATCAATTTTTTAGGAATATATTTTTAAAAGAATCAACAGTGCTCATAACTCTCTTTATAAAATGATATGCCAGATTTAAGAAGAGCAATGTGAAAAGCAAGTACTTATCCAACATCTAAACTTGGATATTGACATCGACTCAAGACAATTTTTTAAAATAAGTAACAATACTCATATATATATATTCATAATTTACTTTTCTTAATTGAAGTAGAGGAATGTGAAATGAAATGACTTATCTAACATCTAAACTTGATGTTTATATCGGCTCAAAGCAATTTCTTCTGTATGTTTTTTTAAAACAACCAACAGTGCTCATATTTTTCTCCAAAAAATGTTTTTCTGAATTGAAACAAATGTAAGTTAAATGAGATAACTTATTAAACATTTAAACTTAGATATTTACATCGGCTCAAATTGATTTTTCAAGAATATATTTTTAAAAGAACCAACAATACTCATAATCCTCTCTATAAAATGTTTTTTCAAATTGAAAAATAGCAAAGTGAAAAGCAATTACTTATCTTACATCAACACTTCGAAATTTATATTAGCTCAAGACAATATTTCAAAATAACCAACAATGCTCATATATCTATCCATAAATTACTTTTTCTTATTGAAATTGAGGAAAGTGAAATGAAATAACTTATATTAATATATAAACTTGATGTTTACATTGACTCAAAGCAATTTTTTTTTATATATATTTTAAAAAAATAATAATTCTCATAATTCTCTCTAGAAAACACTTTTATCAGTTTGAAGCAGAAATAATTTAAAATTAATTACTTGTCTAACATCTAAACTTTGATATTTATATCGACTCAAAATAAATTTTGAGGAATATATTTTTAACAGAACAGACAGTGCTCATAATTATTTCTAGAAAATGCTTCTCCTGATCGAAACAAAGGTATGCAAGACAAAATTACTTATTTAACAGTAAAATTTTTATATTTTACATCGGTTCAAAATAATTTTTTAAAATAACCAACTGTGCTCATATATTTATCCATAAATTACTTTTCCTGATTGAAGAAGATGAAAGTGAAAAGAAATAACATATTTAATATCTAAAATTTATGTTTGCATCAGCTCAAAGAAATTTTTTATATATAATATTTTAAAGAACTGAGAGCACTTATTGCTTCCAATCTAAACATTGATATGTATATAGGCTCAAGAAAAATTTTCAAAATTTTTGTCTAAAGAACCAACAGTACTCCTGTTTATTTATAAAATTTTTTTTCTGATTGAAGAATAGGAAAGTAAATTGAAATAACTTTTATAACGTTTAAACTTGGTGTTTCCATCAACTCAATTTCTCAGGTATTTTTTTTTTCAAAATAACAAACAATGCTCATACTTTCATCATAAAATGATTTTCCAGATAGAAAGAAAGACAAAAAAATGCAATTACTGTAATGCAACTTATTTTAGCTTATATAGAAACTCAACTTTCATTTTTCCATTGGCTTAATGCAATTTCTCAGAAAAACTGAGAGAACAAAGGAAAATGATGGTAAAATGCAAACCATTAAACCACCAGTAGGTAAACCTAGAAGATGACCATCAAACCATCAAACCATTAAACCACCAAAAGGAAAAGATGGAAAAACACAAACCATCAAACCACCACTATGTTTGGATTTTATAGAATTTAGTATTGAATATTTTTATATAGTAAAATTTTATGTAGATAGAATAAAAAGAAAAAGAAAATAAAAGCAATATCAAAATCACATAACGAGAAAAGTAATAATAGTAATAATATAACTATTGTCTTGAAACTCATGCAGGTTCTTTATCATTCAGCTTCATTTGCTTTCCTTGTGTGAATTTATAAATCTCGAACACTCAAATACTCGTACACTTTCCAATTCGGTGGGAAAATTTGCCTATTTAGTGCTTGTGCACGTTTTTCCAGCATGATATAGATAAACTATGACTTAAGTACTCGTGGGTGTTGTTTCATCGCAATAAGGAAATTTATGCTTCTCTTGTGCAAATACTTGAAGGACTATGCATGCTTTTTAAAATATGCTAGGTATGATGATCTCCGATCATGATGTCGCAAGACATCAACCATGCAAGCTTGTTAAAGCGCGATGGGAAGATCTAACACACCCCTCGATGCAACCTTTTAAGTGGGGATGACGTTGGGAGGCTGTTAAAATTTTGAATTGACAGAAGATCTAAATAAAATATAAGTTGAACTAAATGAAACCGAAACTGAACTTAAAATGACATCCATGAATTCTGACAAACCAAAAAAATAATTAAATAAACGAAATATAAATTGCTAAGAATAAAATGGATGTTAAATGAATATAAAACTTATAGAGGATTCTTAAAGATTTTGAAGACAAATAGAATTTTCTAGTAGGACCTTTCAACTCGAATTGCTTACGTCATAATTATCAAACATGAAAAGGAATGGACTTGTCATTCCTTATTTATAAGAAGAAAAAGAATCTTACGTGGGACTAACCCATTAAAGTCCAAATCAAATAAAGGTTATAAAAATGACATCCACTTACATTCAAACATATAAGAACATTCTGTCAATGTACTCATAAGATTCTTTTTCGTTGTAACTCATTACTGAATTCACAATATTCACATGAGCTGGGAAACGGTGAAATTTAGAAAATTTAAATTGAAAACTTGCATGCATTTCAAAGCAAAATATAATATTTATTTAAGCTTTTAAAATTCTAGAAAATTTTGAGATCTACATGTTTCTTGAGGCTTCTAAGCTCGAACTCAAATGTATTGTTACAAAAACATGGGAGCAACTTAAAATCTGCACATATTAATGAAATGACCATATGTTCTTCAATGATAAGCCTAATTTTTCTAAACTTAAGCATTTGAGAATACTACATTGGTTAACTGTATGTTTAGGCAAAAAATTAAATTATTCTTGAGAAACATGGACACCTTCCAAAGCTTTGCAAATTTTTTTCTTAAATATCAATTTTAAAACTATTAAATATTTATGCTCTAATCACACCACTTTGCCTATAGGGCAATGTTGTAAGTCATACTTCTTGCTAGTCTAATCCTACTTTTGATCAGGAACGAAGTTGATATGATTGAGCTTTTGATACATTAATTTGATCATCCTCCTCACATGCACTAGAGTCGACAAGATTAGTACTTTTAATGTTGTTTAAGTAATAACTTAATTTTTATGATGAGCATATTCATTGCACATTTATTGTCTTCAATTTTATAATTAAAAATATTCACGTGATATCTATTACCAAATGCTTAATGCAAAATCCATCTCTCCACAACTATTTGTCGATGTTTCAAATTTTAGATTAACTTAAGCTTACAAAGAGCAAATTTTATATCAATTATAGTACTAAATTTATATTCAAAACAATCTCATATCAGTAAAAAGGTGACCTGAGTCATCTCTCTGCATGATTTAGTAGACAGTTCCACAAAAAAAAGCAGTTCTCTTCAGAGCCCTTTGACCGAATGACTTGACTAATAAAGACAATAAGGTGGTTTTGCCAGTAGGCTCCGTTATATTATGATCACAACTGTAGTCCGTATGTTTCTCAATGATATTCTATTCATTTGAGTTGTGAATCATATAACATATCTGATAAGATACTAAACCCTCTTTAAGTTAATATTGACTTAAATTAGTACCTTAGACAAACATCCATCCCAGGTCTATAAGACGAAGCAACCTATGGTTACTGACAACGATTATTCTATCAAGTTGGGCAGACTACTTCTTTTGAGTAAGTAGATTAGAGACCGAGACAACTTGAGATGACAGAAAATTGTGCTCGATTGGGTTTATCACCATTTCCCATCATTCACCCTCAGTTCGAAGTGATAATTTTATAATTACAAAACTTAAATTTGCTGTCATTAAATGTTAGTTTTGGATACTTTATGCCTAATGACTAGACTTAATCAAAAGTACTCTTGTTATCGAAAGGGTAATTAAACTTAAGGGCTTGCTCCTATGGGAAATCTCGAATCCTAGATCTTACCCTCGGTAATGTCTTTACTATTGTTTCATCATTCTTTTGAAAATTTGACCTGGAATCTCATAGTAAAGCCTCTCATATTTTTTTCTTCGAGAGAGGCTGGGGCGTTGAAATTTTGGGATCATAATTATGACCAATTTTTCTTTGTTCTTTTGACCTAAGCTGTCTGTTTTGCTTAAATCACAGTTTTAAGGGCGTGCTTTTTAATTTGTTAAACTAAGACATCATATTTAAGATGACTAAGTTTGAAAGGGCTTCAGGAAACACATTGAGCTATGACATGTGTTTAAGTGCTGTAATATGTGCAGTTTTTTGTATGCTTATCTCACATTCTATCAATTTTTTTTGCTTTGTTAATATCGTGACTTCAGAACTGAAATTCTAACTGAAATGATCAGTTGGTCACCATCACCACCATCATTATCCTTATTGCAATTTTGTGGCGGGCTTGAGGAATCTTTGTTTATCCATTTATTGATCAAGTTTAACACGAGGTTAATAATCTAGTTTGCACATTTTTTTCCTTTAAATTTTACAATTTAATGTTTGTTATCGCTATTTACTTCTTCCTAAAATTCTATTTTTTTAAATTGTGATAGATCTTTTGTTCTCATGTTGTACTTTGCCAACCTCGTAAGTTTAAATAATGCTGTTTTTATCTTTAAATGTTTTACAGAGAAAAAGATCTGGATGAAGTATTGCAGTCACATACTGTATACTCAAATGTTTCTAAAGGAGTTCTTGCAAAGTCAAAAGATTTACATGCAGCTTTTAAAACTACTGATCAATCATTCATATGCAAAGAGGTAAGATGTCCATTTATCACGCCTTTTCGATGAACAATCTCAAAATTTATTTCCAATTGAAACACTTATTTAGTTAGCTCTTCCGTTTTTCAGCTTTATTTTATTAATTCTGCAACTATTTATGTTTTGTTTAGAATTTAAAAACATCCTTTGCTCATTCTTGCACTCTTTCGTGATTTATTGATCCTATTCCATTTGCAATATTGTGAATAGCAGCCTTGAGTTTACATGAGCTTGTTTGCTTAGTTCTTTTTTAACGCCCAGTCTTAGAACGCATCCTTTTGCAGTTTGATTCTCTTACAGATTTGATGCTTTGCATGTTCAATTTTTAATTCTTCCTAATGATGGAACTATCTGCATTGATAATTAAATGGATATATTATTGCTCTTTTTCTCTAAGATATTAATTCTATGTTTATTTGACTAATGGTTATTCAACCATTGAAATTCCTTTTAAATGTTTAAGAATATTAGTTTGATCATGATGAGTTTGAAATCACTAGATTTTGGAGAAGGGAGAACTTCAAGTTGCTGGAAAGGAGAGGGAATCCCAACTATCAAGCCAGTTTCGGGATATTGCAACAATTGTAATGCAGAAGACTATAAATCCTGAAACCCAACATCCTTACACTATCAGCATGATTGAGCGGCTGATGCATGAAATACATTTTGCCATTGATCCTCATAGTAGTTCTAAAAAACAGGTAGTCCTTTGTTATGAGGTGTTTTCCATTAACTTTTTAACAATGGATGATGTCAATGAATTATATTTTGGATTGAACTTTATATCCTTCGTTAAATTACATTTTCTTGACAGATACCTTAAAAACATTAGATTTATTTTTTAGCTCTTATTTCAATCAGTGGTTATTTTCATATTTCTTAAAAATTGCATTTCATCCTCTTTGGTTGCACAAGCTTCCTTAAAACAGTTATTTGGTCAGCATCCTTTGCATAAGATGCATTAATTTTTTGATATACTAATGGATACCTTTTTGGGATTTGAATTAAAGTTGAGTTTGACATGCTCCTTCTCCTTTGTCCTTTTTAGTTATTTTACTGGTCATATCTTGCTCTACCTCAGTTGTTCTTCTTTTTCTTCCTCGCCTCATTTTGAATGTCAATCGATGTCAAATCTGTATTTATATAGCATATCTCCACAAAAGGAATTCCAGACTATTTCTGTATTGATTGGACAATTAAGATTTCTTTTGCCCGTCAGAAAGCTATTTCAACCTTATACACACATTGAGAATCATCCTTGAGTACAAAGACGCCAATTCTAAAAATCATATCCAATGCCATGGATTCTAATAGCGAGTTTTTTGTTTTCACATTAGAGCTTGTGAGCATCTCTCCTTCCTTATAAGCAAAATTTTAAAGATTCACTCCTTTGTAAATCATTTCACATATCATGGTGCCTTTTGTGATCTGTAAGGGAGTCACTTACTCTTAAAGATTGCTCTGTTCATATATAATGACAATAAAAGGCATTTTTGTTTATACATTTAAGCTAGGCCGGACCTTCATTTGTAGGTCTTTTTTAAATAGTTCTATTGTAGGTTAAACGTATGCAGAACTTTAAATTGCAGGCCTTGGATAGTTCTACTGCTCAACTTTCGGCCTACCAGTGTTTAAGAGTAGGCTTGATTAGAAGACCTCTATTTAATCTATAGTTACTGATACCGGATGTAGTCAGAAAATCAGCGGAAACAAAAATAATTTTTATTAATATTGAAATAGAGTTACAACCCAACACAAACGGAAAGGGGAAATACAACAACAAACCAATCTCCGGCTAGGAACAAAAGAAATATGAGGGCGGAGGTGGCGTTGGCGAAGTGGTAAGGGGAAAAGGGAAGGGTTGAGGGCTATCTGATATGTTGGAAGGGTGGTTGGTTTGGGGGTTTGGGTGAGTGGGGTGGTAGGTAAGGTGACAGGACGAGAATACTACCATACGATGTCTCGGGCCTTTCCACGAGACATTGTCGCTAGACTGTAAGCAACAATTTTTCTAATAAATTGTGCAATTTTAACTTCAATTAAAATTGAATACCAATTAACATTGAATACCCCTTGCCAAAATGTTAGAATTGGTTGGAAGGCTCACTGGGCTCCTTGGTATTTGAACACTCTTTGCCCTTCTGCCCTTGAATATCATAAAATCCCTTTAAATTTTGAACATGTCCCTTTTGAAGCTCCCGAAACGCCAAACATAAATAAGACAATATTACTTTAAATCGAGATTTTTCTCGTTAGTTTACCATTCGGATGTAATCAACTAAAGGGTCTTGCCTCATTTGGGATACTAGATCCCAAAATTAAAATAAATCCTATCCCTTCTGGTTTGGGGAAAAATTGGTTCGTAGCTCCACGGAGTAGTGAAACAATCACTTCGGGATTGGATCCATCGTATGGTAGTATTCTCGTCCCTAGGAAAGATATATTGACTTGATGTCGTATATGATAACAAGTAAGAAATTTAAAAATTCTTGTGTGGGGTCCTCCCAAACAAGCACCGACAATGAAAACAAGGATCTGTTCACTATGAATTTTGAATCTCATAGAATATTCAAATTTTATGAATGTTTACATAGACTCTAATTTTTATTCTGGTCCCTAGCAAAGTTGTACTATGACTTGATGTCGTATTCAATCACCAGTGAGAAATTTTAAAATTATTGTGTGGGGTTCACGAAAACATGCATCGACAATAAAAGCAAGGATAAGTTCACTATGGGTTTTGAATCTCATAGAATATTTAAATTTTATGATTGTTTACCTAGACTCACATTTCTATTTTCTATTTTATATCAATATTTAAGATTAGGATTTGTGATTTTGATCTTTATTATAATAAACTAAATCAATGTATTAACGTTTTATATCATATTTATGATTATTTTTTTATTTTATGAGGTCATTTTCTTTTAGAGTCTTACACCTAGTCTCGCTGGTACAAAAACGCCTCGATTCCCGATTTCATCTTTTTAAACTTCAGTAATAATACAAGTTGGCCATATTTTCTAACATATTTCTGTATGAAATTTTTGTTGTTAGAAGTAGATGAATTGGATGTTCCTCTTATTGTTGAAACGATGATGTCTCTATGCTCGTATTATACTTCTTTTCTTCTTGATTTTGTAGGCTTTAGAAGTTATTAAAGAGCTTCAAGAACATTTTCCAATAAAAAGAGCACCTATGAGATTGCGCCTTATTGTACCAGAAATATACCTTTCTAGTCTAATGGACAAGCTTGGAGAGTGGAATGCGAATGTCATCTTAAAGAATGCATCAGGTGGCATGCCAACAATTGTAAGTTTTTAAATTTGCAAATTAAATTGAATGAGCGCACAAATTAAGGATTGTACTTGTTATGACCATTTAAGATATTTTATGCCCCGTTCTTCACTTTTATTTTTTGTTATGATTTTTTAATCATTCACTGGTAAGGTTTGAGTTTGATATTAGGGCTCTGCTCTATTAGTAGTCATTCCTACATTAGGTTGTTCCTTATTGAATGGTAGAAGGTCCTATGGAGTTGTGTCCACTTCATCAGTTGTTTATTTTAATTCACTTTTTCATTTATTTCCAGCTTACCTTATTATTGAATTATCTATTTATTTTATTTTTTTCACTTCATGTCAAATCATCATTTTAGTACTTAAAATGTTACTTTTTGCTCTCTTACCTCAAATTTGATTTTAGTGCAAATTTCTTATTCAATGACATTTGATTTTCTTTTATCATGTTTTCCATTTCAAATTTAAGGCATTTTTATTGCATGGGCTTTTTTTCTTTTGCTTTTTAATGGCTTTAGTTCTAAGTTGCTATCATTTTAGTACATAACACTTTATGTGTTGCTTTTTGCTTTAATTTTGATTTTGATGTAGACTGTACAACAGTGACATTTGATTTCTTTCCTATTCATTTTAAAATTAAAATATATTTCCTGCACGGACTGTCTTTTGTTTGCTTTTTCATGGCCTTCTCCTTATCACGTTCCCATAAGTTTCGATCACTTCTTAAGCTGACAAATCCCTAGCTTCACTCACACATAGGTCTCTCTGCTCATCTAGTATCCAGGTTAATGCAACAAAAATAGTCCCTTCCATGGGAAAGGTTGCACCCATTTGGAAGCCCAAAAAGGGTCTAGGAGATTCCTACAATTATATTATCCCTTCAATGAAGTCATCATTTTAACACATAAAACTTTCCTTTTTGTTGTTCTACTTCAAATTTGGCTTCAATGCAGAGCCCACAACGGCAATTGATTTTCTTCTTTATGTTTTCCATTTTAAATTTTTAATATATTTGTTAAAATGGCCTTTTTTATTGTTTTTCCATAGCCTTCTTCCTTTCACCTTGTCACAATCATTTCTCATGTTGATGTTTCCCTAATTTTGTTCACACATTGGTTTTCCACCCATCCAACCACCCTTATCAGAGCAATATAAATGATTCATTCAATGGGAAAGATTAGGACCATTAAGCCGACTCCACTTATGTTGTTCTCCCTGGTGGAGAATTGCTATTGAGCTATAGCCCGGCATTTGTGACTTGTTACAAACAGACATGAAGGATTGGATACTTCCAATCAGATATTGCTAGGCAGCCATGCTGTAATCCATTACTCTCTGTCCTTGTCCGCTTCACTAGTTACTTGTTGTAGTGTGGTCATCTTTCGACAAATCTACTTAACCAACTTAGCTTAACTCGGCCCTAATTCATCCCATCCCATTAGAGTAGTCTGGCAAGTTGGATCTAATACGTCAACATTATTCTTTGTATAACTGTGCAAACAAAACCTGGAGGCTTAAGTGTTTTGTATAGAATACAAACAATACATACTTAAAAAGTTCAAATAAAAGACTGTACGGCTTAATAATAAATTGTATAAACTCAACTATCGCTTGTTCATACAGAGTGTGACTGACAAGACCCTAAGGATAATCTACCCGTAAGAGTATCTTGATTATTTTCTAAAGATTGACTTAGCAAACTAAGGCTGCTCACTCCAGCTGATCAAAATCATGGTCTGATTGGTCTCCCATGTGCAAATTAGAAATGCTTGTGCTGATTCCGATAGATTTTGGGAACGCTTGTGTTGAAAGTTAGATAGGAATGAGGCTGAAAAGGGACTTATTACTCCTCCAAGCAAAATCAACAAAATTTCCATCTCAATTAAATCTAAGCGGGCCTCATTAAGCTTGCAAGGAACATGTGCTGTCAGAGCACCTTACATGTTAACCTTGAAGAAAGAAAATCACATAGCAACAACAACAACAACAACAACAACAAAGCCTTAATCCCACTACGTGGGGTCGGCTACTAGAATCCTTTTTCTCCATTGCGTCCTATTTAGTGTCATATTTTCATTTAGTTCTAGTAAATTAAGATCATTTTTAATACAATAAGCCCAATTCTTCCTAGG